CATAAAGAATGTACACTCTACATCTATACTCTACAATGTTATTGGACTAGTCACCATATTGCAATAGGGAAATATATCATTACATTTCATTCTTGTACACAAGAATAAGGAATCTGAAGAGTTTTTGTCTTGGAGAGATTACTAGAGATTTTTGTGCTTTTTTTGGTTGAATTTGTGCATTTTTCTCATAAATGAAAAAATTAATTTATACAAAACTCCCTCTTGTTTTGCACTAGAGTTGCTCTAGCATTTTCTTTTGCAAAATATAGTACTTTATACACAAATTCTATTTTAATGCAAAAACAATTTCATTTGTTTTTTTTCCAAATAAGTGTTTTTTTGTTTTTTTTAAAGAAGATACCTAAACATGATTTTTTTCTTTAATTTGCAATTTTCTGAACAGGGCATCTTCATACATTGAAATATGCTTTCTCATCAAGAATGAAAAAAAAAAGCAAATAATTTGTTACCCCCTCATTGCCATATCATAGAGCTGTTATGAGAAGATGATAAGGTAGAGATAGTTTATATGCTGGCTTGAGCCCCATGGGGACAAATGAGATAAAAAAATCTTATTAAAAATCATTCTACTATCTAGTGGGCTTTATAATAGTGGTTCCAGTGTTATGCAGCCTTATATGAAACTGAACCTCATTGAACTACGGTAATTCTCAAATAAAATAATGTTCTGTAAAATGCAGATCTGAAGCCACATTCTAGACTGATGCCATTGTCTTCATTGCTGTAAGTACATCGATACAAATTTTAACAAGAAGAAGTAAAAGTATGTCATTGAGAGAAACCTCACTAAACAAAATAAATATGTGGGGGGGGGGGACAAAACCCCCCCAAATAATGTTGAGGCTGAAGGAGCAACTGCGTGAGAAGAAATACAGTTAGATGAACGATTATAACAACAAGATAATGAGTGTGAAGACTGCCTGGCTAGAAAGGGATTCAGAATTATCTCAAGGGAAAGAGAAGGAAGCTGATAAAAAAATAAATTAGGACAAGCATTGTAGAAAATACTGCATTCAAATTAAAAGGGGGAAAGGAAAATCTTATTAACAGTTAAACAGTTGGTTCAATTATGCTGATCTTATTGGCATATATATTCAGACTTTTACATGGTCTATTTATGTTTGTTTTAAAATTCACTACCACATCTCACTGCACAAGAATAGACATAAGCAAAACCATTTCTTACCCTTGGGAAATCAAAGTGCTTTCTCTCTAAGGTTCAGGGAGAGGCTACTTCCTCTGACATGATATGCCTGCCATGTCTTATTGGAAGACCGAGTTCTCAACATACTTGCTTTTAGACGTCAAGTAGGGAGCAGTGGTATCAAGATTGGATTTAAAGTTCACTTGGAAAAGCTAAAATAAAGACTTTCTACTGTTTGACATGTGTTAATAACCAAACTGAGTGCAGTCAATCAGTGTCATACTTAAATCTCTTTGCATTTTATTTGTGGCACACACACACAAATATCTATTAGACCTGTGAACTTCCTTTTTGGTATGCTGTGGAGGTTGTTATTCCCTTCCTTGCTCTGCAAGAATCAAACCCTCTTCCTGGACTTATTAAGCAGACTACGAAATCTCTTCCACGTGGCTACGTCATGCCTTATAGAGAGTGGGTAAGATCAGAGAAGAAGATGGCAATGACCTTGTTCCCTGACACAAAATAATTGGAGCAGCACTAGGACCTCTTGTATATTGGAGAGTGTGACACACACCTTTGTCCTGGGTGGTCCTAAACTTCATCCCCAGGAATTCTACCCTTCACTCTGCTTTTTATTCTCCCAATTATTCTTTTGCTGGATTGAGTTTCTGAGCCTCAAAGTGAACCTTTCAATGTGGACTTGTGGTTGTGTGAGTTCTCTAGTTTTGGAATGAATGGTCTGATTTTAATCCAGGCCTGATAGAGAGCCAGAGACAGGCTTAAAGAAAGAAATAGATTTATTAAACACAGTAGAACAATACATTATTTTCTAATATTCTAGTCTTTAACTCTCTAAAAGTATATATTGTTCTCAAATCCAAAAATCTGTCTTTAAAAACTCAAAATCCTCTCTGTGTCAACTTCAAACACTATCAGTTCTAGTTCATTTCCTGTCCAAATTTGCTCAGAGGCAAACTTCTACCTTTTCATACATTCTGTTTCCTTTTAGACCCCCTTCACAGCTTCCCTGAGTCATAATTGTCTTTCTTCATGCCATCTGCTTAGTGCCTCAGAGGCTGTGCTGGAAGCCCGGTGTGTGGTGGTATATGGCTCAGTCCACATGCAGAACTACTATCCCACATTAAGCCATACAGGATTGCTACTCCTTGCCAAAATCTGAAAAATATGAGTTTTCAAGGATATGTATGGTATAAAACATTAATTTGCCCAGGTGGACAATACTGTATGCCCAGGTCAATAAACAAGCCGTCAGTTCAGCTTTGACCACATTAAATTACATGGACCTAAACAGTAAAGCAACACTTAGGGATTAATAGTCAGAATGAAGTTATGACAGGTAATTTGGATTAATCATCAAAATTTCTCTTGGGCCATTATGTACTAGGCATGATATTATTCTAATTAACCAATGTCTCTAAACACACTTCAACTGAATATTATTAAGTTGTTAATTAATATTTCCCAGAACTTTCTGAGTATGTTTTTGAAAAACAGTAAACAGCAACAACATCAGAAAAGAGGAGTGGAATCAATATATATGAAACAGAGCATTAGGCAGCCTTTCTCAACCAGGTGCTCTTTTACATTATTCATCATAGCACTATGGTTTCACTTTTACTGCTGAATCCTGGTGTTTGTAGTTTGGTCAGAAGCACTAAAGGAGCTTTCTAGTTGAAAATGTGACGTGTCTCTTCTTGAACTGCAAAGTGGAAGTACAGTGCTTTAATTGTGTATTGTGAAAGAGCCCTACCTGTGGTTTAAATGGCCATTGCATTGACATTAATGATGGCTCCAACATTAGGAATTTAGAAGCCTGAAAATCAAAGATTAACTACTTTGAGCTTTGAAAATTCAAAACCATGTCAAACTTTCTCAATCTCTTACTATTTTGCTTGTCTAACTGTCTGACTGACTTTGTAGCATATACCCTAGGGTAGTTTACAATTTGAAGCACCAAAATATCAAACACCAATATTTAAAACATGAATAAAAGTTTGGTGTTGTGTGTCTTCAAGTCATTTTTTACTTATTGGAACATTCTGCTAAGTAAATCCTAAGGGGTTTCCTTGGCAGAATGCATTCCAGAGTTGGTGATGTGTCTAACAAGGATTTCTGACTTTCAACTGCTTAACAATAGCAGTGACAAAAAGTCTATCTGTGACCATTTAATGAAGAAATGAAACCAAGCATTTCTGAATAAAAAGACTGAGAGACAGTTTGGGTAATGAATCTCAGCATGCACTTTGAGGCATCCATTACCTTGTCTGAATTCTAAGTGTGTATGTTCCTCTGGACACTTATATCATGGTAGGTAATTGAAGTGGATCCAGGGAAAAACTTATTATCTCTAGGACTTTTCTGAGGCTGTGCTGGCTGCCAAAGGACCCATCCACACTCCATGAAAATGTGGTCTAGGGGGGACATTATCACTAGGCTTCCAAATGATGCCTCATGATAATACAGTTCAAACCAGAGTAAACCTGGAAATCTAGGCTTACCTGGGTAAAAAAAAAGAAAATGTGTATGTTCCAAGGAGGTTCACACCTTCCCAGGTATGGAGACTTTAAGGATTGGCTCTCAGGATTGCCATGTGTAATCCTGAGGGTCAGTCTCTATAGCCATCCTGCCTCTGCAGGCCCCAGTTGCCTTGGGGGTGGGGGGGATGACAGTGCCTCCATATTTGAGTGAAATTAGCATTTAAAACACCTGATACTTTGGGCCTGTGTGAAACCAAAAATATCTGAAAATTCACTGTTGTTTTTTTTTTTTTTTAAATCCTTTTTAAAAAAACAAAAACAAAAATTTGAACCATTGAAGTGCCATTTGATATGAATTCTAGAGTTTTCCAGATGAGGCAATTTGCTGTATTTTTTTAAAAAAGCCAGAAAATGAGCAACCCTGGGAATCTACCTGAGCTGAGAGTCTTGGAAGCTACATTTGCACCAGGAGCCATCCTAAGCTACACAACACTTGGGGTGATTTTGAGGAATAATCATTTGCTTGTTCAGAGGCCATTTCAGTGTTATGGTGTTGAAGTTTTTATTGTGTTTTCATTGGGAAACATGCCTTAAACATTTATTCTTCTTCACAGACCTTTATGATCAGCCTGTGGAAGCAAAAATATTTTTCCTACAATGAATGTCTACAGGAATATATTTACTAGAAAACTGAGAAATCTTGTGGCAGTTGTTTCAAAGAGCACTGAACTACATGTGTGTTTACATGTGTCTTCAGGTTGCCCTGAATTTCATAGCTATTGGCAAGAGATACTCAGAGGTGGTTTGCTAGTTCCCTCCTTTGAAATATTGCCTACAGCACCTGACATTCTTTTGTGGTCTCCCAGCCAAGTACTGACCAGGGCTATATGTCTTTAGCTTCCCAAATGAGATGGAATCTGGTGTATTTAGAGTATTTAGGCTTCCCTAGTTAACCCATATTTTTAGTCAAGTTCTACACTACTTATTTTTTATCTTATGTAAGGTTTTTATATCTTATGTCAGGTTTCCAAGTGATATTCCTTTTCCTGTTCCAAAGCAACATTCCTCAGCAAAGCAAATATTGGAAAATTGTCATTTTAGGAACTGCTTGCTTCAAGGTGCCTGGAGGTCAAGCATGGAGATGGAGCTCCTTTTTCCCGACTGAATTCTTATTTCTCATGCAATAAGGAAAGAAGATGGTGGATAGTGGTTCTATGACTTTTGTACTGATATCTACCTACCCTTGAGGCAATGTGGCTATTTGACTTAAATTTGTTTGTTCACACATTCAGCAAATGAAACACTTATTAGGACAAAATTTGAGAATTTAGACTTACCCTGGCTTTGTATCATTTGTTACACAATGATATGTGAAAGGTCCAAACATTTGCACTCCTAGAATGCCATATAAAAGCAGGAAGAACAGAAGAAATATAGAAACACTCCAAATTTGTTCACCTGAACGCCTAGAAAGGGTGAGGGGGAGAGAGAAAGAAAGAGGAACAGTATATATTCAGGCAGCTGTTTCATTCCACTTGAGACAAAGTGGAGAATTAGGACCTCACCACATTGAATATCACTGTGTAGTTTAGACTGGAGAGCCTCATTCAGATTTGTAGCATTTCGAACAATAGAGTCCAAACATACGCTTTCAGTATCAGCGTTCCAGCATCCCACCCACAATCCACTTGAATTCATGGGAATAAAAGATAGCCTTGTAATGGAAGGAAGAACTACATTATGGTTCAGTCCTTCAATAATAGTTTTCAAAGGAAATGAAATGAAAAGCAAACATATCGGCTTAACACTATTTATCAAAATTTGAAAAAAAAAATCTGTTTCTGATTTGAAAGTGTCATTTCCTGTTTAATTGAGCAATACTTACTTTGCAAATAGTTGTTGTACTCCAAAAACAAACTGTATTGAATTGGTTGAGACTCTAAGAGATATTCATTGAAAAACCATAGAAAAATGTGCTGCAGGATATCCCGCAAAAACAAAATTTTTGCAGTTTAATAAACTTTTTCCATATTTTTATGATAGAATCAATTAGGAAATGACATTTATAACCCAGGAACAATAATTGTGTTACATAGTGTAATTACAGAACATTTTTTGAGATGTGAAAAGAATGGACTATGTTTTTCATAGCAAAAACAAATGAGTGTGAGTATCTCCTCCTCCTTCCATATGTTGCATACTTTCCCGTAGTCTCTCTCTGCAAATACTTTTTTTCCTTAGCCAAACTTCAGAAAGTACTCAGATTACAGAGACGTAAGCAGTGGGATGCTCAGTTCATTTCTGGATTGCAACTACCATGGCCCCTCACTACTGACTAACCTGGGCTAAGGCTGGTGTGGGTTGCAATCCAAGGAATAATATCTGGAAAAGCAAACTGCCTGTTCCATACCTACATCATCATCCACACTAAGGCATTCTTTAATATTCCAGATCTGGTGAAATACCTTGGTCTAAACCATTCATTCAGTTCTCTGAAACATTTAAAGAAGTTCTGTTTCCTGCCACAGAATGTAGTTTGCAGACTAGAAAGAGAAATAGGCTAGAAACACCTTATTGAGATGTGTTATTTTTCAAACAATTAATCCTTAATAACATAGATTTAATATAAATAAATTAATGAAAAACTTTTTGTAACACAGCAAACAAAGGAAAGCATCCCCTCCCCTCAATTTATTCTTAGGCTGGATCTACACTGCCATATAATCCAGATTATCAAAGCAGATAATCCACATTATTTTCTTTGAACTGGATTATGTGAGTCTATATTGCCATATAATCTGGTTCAATGCAGATTTTATATGGCAGTGTACAAGGGGCCTTAAACAGTCATGTTTATATTTCACAAAAGCTTATAAAGAACAGTAAAAGATTCACTTACTTTAAAATGTTAGTTATCCTTGTTCTTGGCAATTCAAAGCGAAAGTAGATCCGGAATGCTCGAATCATAATAAGTGGCCGGGGGATCCTCAACATTCCCCAAGGTGACATCTGGTCAACTATTTCAGCAATTTCAAACACCTAGGAACAAAAGGAATATTTCCCCTCTGATCTGTCATATTTTTAATCTTTAAAATTATTATTATTCCAGAATAATACAATACTCTCCATTCTCTTCAGACTGTATAAATCTTTCACTTTTAAAACAAAATAATACAATTTTCAATACAATTATTTCCAATGTTAATCTTCTTTCAATTAATTTTATCACTTAAATTACAATGCCCTTATTTCTTTGGAATATTATCATGCAAACAATTCATCTTGAAACATCACATATTGCACTAAGTAACTAATTTACAAAATTGAAACTCAAAAAATGTAAATAACAAATAATCTCAAAAAATAAACAAAAAAGTAAATAACAACAAAAAGCAGCAAGAAAATATAGTACCTGAATTTTCCAGATGCCACCAGATGAAGCTTTTAGTAAGTAAGGACCCTGTCTCATTAATGGACATTTATGGGAGGTCCTGACATAATTATCTTTAATTTGAATCCTTTCCATGTCTCCCCTTTATTTATTTATTTATTTGTTTTTCTTCCAAGAGAAAATCCTTTAAGGGAAAAAGAATAGCTACACAACACATTTTCAAAGTGGGTGGATTGGTAAAGGACTGAATTAGAGAGGAAGAAAATAAGTGTGCAGGTTTGCAACTGCAGTTTGCTATTGTGTGGTATTGCACACAAGTTGGTAAACATGAGTAAAGGATGAGGATTCATTGGTCAGGAGACCTAAAATATTCGAAAATATGGCAGTGTACTAAGTCTGAAATAAATTATATGCAACAATCCTGCAGTAAGTGTGATACATCTCAGTTCTGTAATAGTCAACATTCCTAGACATAGCCCAGATGTTTCTGAAAGATTTCCTCCTTAAGCTTTAGTTTGGACACTGATATAGGAATTGTACTCCAGCTCTCATAATAGCACAATATAATTACCTGTAAAACTAATGACACCCAGAGACAAAAAACCATGAATCCATCGAATACACACCAACGATCCTTCACATAGGAGGTATCGCCCTATAGAGGAAAATGTAAATGAAATCATCTCAACTATTTACATGGCTTTATGGCAATTCAAATTTTTATTTCATTAGCTGCTTAAACAAGACAGAAAATGCTTTATGTAGAAAATTCTGCAGTGAGTTTAGGATCTTCAAAGACTCTCCCATTTTATTTTATTTTATCAAAAAAGATTGTATGTAGTGCTTAGTAATACCATAAATATGTCTACCCAGTATCTGTTCACAACAACTTGCAACTATTTGCCTTTGATGCTAGCAGCTGCTAACTTTTCTTCTTGTACTGAAGAGAATGAATGTGTATGCAATGAAGAAAATCATCTGGACAAATCAAAAGGTAGAGAAAGTACACAGGCATTCATTTTATTTTTCCTAAATGGATGCTTCATATAGCTGCTTGAATTCCAACCCATAAAGCTATAAACATAGTTCTTGCAAAAATTAAACTCAGTCTGTTTATTTGGTATACCAATCTTTTCTCTGTTTTGTCCTTGGCAGCTATTATTCCTATCTGAATACAAATCCATGTCTCCAAGTAACATATAAGAAGTAGATGCAGTGCCATCATGAGAAAACTGTCTTTCTGCTGACCAAGTAAAAATGTTGACAACCTATAAGTAGAAGAAACAGAAGAATGGCATACCAGGGATTTTTCTTTGGCCAAGAGAGAAGCTAAGCTAATCTCACCCACTCTTTTCAAATATGGACTTTTGTTCATGGGTATATTCCACATTATTCAATTTAACTTCAACTTGTAAAGCTTTTATATTAGAACCCATGCCAGAATGGATGCCCACAATTTTCAACATAACTACATTTGATTGAAAAGTAGGCAGGAAATGTGAATTCCTGTGTACTGTGATTTTCCTGCATACTGTGATTTTCTGGGAATTATTGTTTGAACTGCTTACCAATTAACGTTGTTTAAATTACCTTTACTTAAGGACTAAAACTGACATTGAAATCAAATAAGTCTTAAAGCTGACTCTGGACAAATTAATAGAACTTTCTCAATCTAGGTACAAAAGAATGGAATTGTTTGTGTATGTGCCTATGTATATGTGAACAAGGCTCTTCACAATGGATGCTATGATATGTATTCCTTTTTCAAACAGATTGACTTCCATTCTAATAAATACATGAATACAATCAAACACACAGCATACAAGGAAAAAAAGTGGAATCACTTCTTTCATTCTATTTTTGAGTTACCTGTAACAAAATACTCTATTTGCCCGCATAATGAGATTACTTGGATTCTACCTTGGGGAAAAGGTGGAGGTATCAGGGACTCTCAACACCAACGCAGTTGGTGGGGAGAGCGATTTGCCCCTCCCCCCCTGAAGCAGAGAAATGGGAGGTTCCTTTAGAACCTCCTGGAAGAGGGGTGGGGGCTGGCTGAGCATGTGAGCCAGCCTCCTCCCTTCAGTCTTGCAAGACTTTCTTCCCGCCACTCCTGCCCATTGACAGTATATTTGGTTGCCCGTTGGAGCCGGGTAGGAATTTTTTGCCCCTCATGTTCTGGGGTTTTTTTTCGCCTACCCTATACTGTTATTAGGGGCTAGATGGGGTGGTTCGGTTTAACTAGGCTAGCATAAATAGCTCAGGAAAACACAGGCATGGAGCTATATGCAAGGCACCCCTTAAGGGTGGGGGTCAGTGTACAACAAACACTCACCTAGAGGTCAGCAAATGGGTGAGGGGACATCACTTGGCTAAGAAATACGAGAAGCTGATATCAATAATCTGAGACAGGCTTCTCCAGACTTTTACCTTCAGGTTGCCCGGTTGGGGATCCAGGGCACACAGATATTACACACTAAATAGCCGAGGACGCTGCCTCGGTTAGCCACCAAGTTCCTAGACACATAGTTTAGTTCAGTTAAAGTTAAATAGGTAACATTCAATAAAGTTGCCCAATTTGAATGCATACCATGGTTGTCTGTCTCGTTATTTCAGGGGTTAAGGGTCAAATCTAATAACTAACTAAATAAAAACACAATGAAAGGGACCATCATTACAGTCTTGTTGTAGCAAGTAATGTTTTAGTCACTTCTAAACATTACTTTTCAATGATGTTCCATAGCAATGTTTTCCAATTCTGCATTTTAATCTTATCAGTCTTAATGGGTTTTCCCAAACAATCTAACTAGTAATACAATAAACTTTCATATCACCATAATCAGAAGAAACAGGAATGATGTACTTTTCAGACACTGCCACAAGTCGCAGAAAAATGATTGTTAGTTTTCTAATGACTGTAACATTTTCTTAACTTGCAACTAATCAAACAAAATAACTCTACAATTTACTAGTTGTTGACCATTTTCTCAATGGGATATCTTGATTTGTCAGTGCCCCTTTTCATTAAGGGTAAGAATATTTTAAGTATTCTTCATTTCCTTACTGAATGTTATTCCTTTGTTACAATTCTCTTTTGTTATATTCAGCTTTCACAGTCCTATACTGCCAGATGTTGTCCCAACCTATTTCTTGAATTAGGTGCAAGAAACAATGGATTCCAGGTTCCTTCTACACAGGCCCTAAAATGCAGAATAAACTGGGATAAGGGGGGGGGGTACATTACGTTTGCCGAAAATGTGCTCTGGATCACATTAACGCCTGAAAAACACGTATTAAAAAGATGCACTTAAAATCCAATTTTTGCAAGAAAATTTGCATATTTGCATCTTTGTATATCCCTGCAGTCAAGAAAAATATGTGACTTCATTACTGTAAGCTGGTGTGGACTGCTCCAGTGCATGTGCACATTTTAAAATCCCGAAACAGCCAAGAAGGGCTCTAAACAAATGGAACTACAGAAACACAGGTGGCTAAATGACAACTCTCTGTAACCATTCCTTTGCTCTGATGTTTATGAAATTAAAAAGAGCTTGAATTTACACAGTCGTCATCAGCATGCAAAGAAAGTGATCCCACAAGGAAACGGGGTTCAAGAGGGAAAAAGTAAAGCAAGCAGGAGCATGAGGATTGATAATGTCAAGAAACCTGCTCGTGTGCACATTAGTATAGCCACATCAGTGCTTATGAGATCCAGCACATCTCGGAGAGTCCATTAAAAAAATTAAGAGGAAACTTCCAGGGGATCTTCCATATCCATCTTGTGGATTTCTAAAATCTGCTACAACTGAACCCATCAGGATGTTGGGGGAGCATTTACTGGAACTGTCAGCTCAGTGTCTGGACTTCTTAAGATACTATAATGTTTTGCCCCACTTATTTGTCCTGCATTTTGACACTATCTGGAAGGGCTCTGAGGCATTATTCCAGTCTACATGAATTTACTTCTTTATGTAAACAAGAGGTGTGAGTAAATTAACCCTGGCACTTTTCTAAGGAGCTTTCGATGAACAAAATTCTATTTTACAAATAGAACTGAAAACTAAAAGGACTTAAACCTTTAATTAAAGAAAAGAACAAGAACAACAGCAAGAAGTGTGAGAACTTCTGAATAACAATAAATTAAGATCAGGCTGTTTTTGCTGAACTTACATACTAACAGAAATTTAAGCACATCTAACTTTTGGATAATACAAAAGAATTAACCAGGTAATAAAGATGGAAATGTTTGAAGGAAAGGAGCAATGTGTGGAAAGAGATTTTTAAAACCCAGATGCTAAAGCAATTTGGGATGAAATATTTTTAAAAATTGAAATTGGTAAAGGAAGATTTAAAACACATGATGGCAAGTTGGAAAGGAATTTCAAGAAGTGTGGATGTTTATGCAAATGAGAAGCCTAAGCAGGATGATGAAGAAAGTGCAGTCCTTCTTCATCATCAGTCACTGTCCCTCAAACTGTTTAAACAGAGGGCCAGGTCACTGTCCCTCAAACTGTTTAAACAGAGGGCCAGGTCCCTGTCCCTCAAACTGTTGGAGGGCCGGGTTATAATTTGAAAAAAAAAGAAGAATCAATTCCTATGCACATTGCACATATCTTATTTGTAGTGCAAAAAACACTTTAAAACAATATAATAATTAAAATGAAGAACAATTTAACAAATATAAACTTATTAGTATTTCAATGGGGAGTGTGGACCTGCTTTTGGATGATGAGATAGGATTGTTGTTATTGTTATGTGCTTTCAAGTCGTTTCAGACTTAGGTTGGCCCTGAGCGAGGGCTGGGTAAATGACCTTGGAGGGCCGTATCCGGCCCCCAGGCCTTAGTTTGAGGACCCCTGACTTAGATAGTTATGACTTGTTATCTATAAAAGTCAGCTGTTAATACTGTCACACAGTGGTGCTATCCAATGATATAATGTGAGAATATTTTCTAATATGGCATGTATGAGGGAAAGATTCTGCTTTCAGTCTCTAGAGCTAAAATCATTAGATGCAGATGTGGTTAAATGCATAGTTTTTTTCTCTTCACTATAAGATCAATTATTCACCCCTTGTGAGGAAGAACTCACAACCAGTTGTATATCTAAAATTAAAGTCCATATTATTTGCAGAACTATAGGCACATTTTTGGGATTGGACATGTTGAATGAAAGATCGGCCCTTCTAAGTACCCCCACAGGGACTTCCCAGTTGCCGTAGAGGTGGGTGAGAATCCTCACAGCCCAGCATGCTGAATGAGGTTTGGTGCTGTTGGACAGCCACATTGTCCCCCTCTTGCTCCTCACGTCATTAGTCTCTAGCCATGACACTTGCCCTTATGTCATCCAGACCCATGAGGCGGTAAGGAGGGAGAAAGAAGAAATCCCTCCCCCCCTTGTCACCCTCCTCCCTTTGTAGAGCTTTCCATCACTCCGACTGGAATCAGGGCAAATGACAATTGATATGTATGTCCCATGTTGCTGCCAAATACTGCTACAACGCAGAAGAGGGATGTTGCAAGGAGTCTGCTATCCTATGTCCCTGGGCTGCCGAAATTCTGAGAATGAAGTATTGCAATGGACATAGGTGTGTACCAGTTCCATTTGTGAAATGGTACAACTCTCTCACTGCCCTAAATTGGGGCAAAATACAGGC